AGACGAACCAATTTTGTCTGGGGCGTTAAGGCGAGGTTTCTCACCGAGGTTCTTTAGCAGATTTTTGACGAGTGGTTACCTATCATCAAGGGACTTTGGCAATGAGATTATTGAAGTTTGCGTGACGATTTTATATTTTGTATTGGCTCTCAAGATTTATACATCGAGTCCGTGATCGATGTAATGTTCTAGTTATCAACCACCAAATTTACGTATTCATTATCGACTCAATTGCCAGCTGGAGCTTGTTTCAGCGGAATGCTGTTGTGAGCGCTCGTAGCGTAAGTGTTTCTAAATATGTAAGGTCAATTCGTGACTGCGCGAAAACATGGTGGACTTCATGCAGCCTGTAGTTCTACGGGGGGGTTCTGCCTTCTCTGAAGATTTAGTCAGATTTACGAAGAGTTAGCGCAAAAAGCAAAGGTAATAGGTCGTTCTGCAAGCATTTGTGGAACGACGATGGAAGGAAAACCAACTTTTCGACGTGACATTTCGTACTATTTCTGTACGTATCATGCTGTACTCATTTTGCTGTAACGTACGTAAAATATGTATGTGTGAAAATCTCTCTCATGTGACAATATGTACATCAATATGTATAATTTAGGACGTAAATACATTTTTGATTGTCTCTAGCTAGGAGAGAGTTGCACGAGCCAACCGCGAGCCCAAGTCAACCTCGAGTCACGAGTCAACCTCGGGTCAACCACGAGTCAATCCAAATTTTTTCCTTTTTTTTTTTTTATTTCGCCCCGAAAAAAGAAATTGATTCTAGGAAATAAAATATATGAATATAGATTGTCTTAGCAGTTATCAACAGGACATTTTGATAACCGGCTCACCTCGATCGCGCCGCGCGCCACAATAGTCTTACGCAGTTTTACTGGTAAGTTCCATTTTGTATCTTTGTTGTGAAATAACAGAACTGGGCCAAGTTGTAAAAAGTTAATTTCGAATATGTCTTTTGCTTGTTCCAGTTTACCTTAAAAAGTAATTTGTAAAAATGCGTTTTGCTTGTTCCAGGTTATCTAGGAATTTTAAAATGTTCAGACTTTTGAAAAATAAAATGAAGTTGAGAATGCTTGAATCGCGAAATTGTATGACCTTTTTTGATATTTGCCTATTGAAATCGCGAAAAT